GGCCCCCCCCTCCCAGGGCCAGCCTGGCCCAGCCCCTGCTGCTGAGATAGCCATGCTAATTAGTCTTTGTTAATTAATGCAGATGTCAATAAACCCAGTGCCTTTCAGTTCCTAGTGCCTGGTGCTGCTGGTTTGGCTCACCCCAAGGTCCTGGGCACCCCCATACCAGGCACTGGGGTCAGCTGGGGAGGGGGGCAGGGGGTGGTTCTGGGGAGTGTGTCCTGGTGTTGTGATGGTCGTTGGTGGCCAGGGGACATCCTTGGGCTGCAGGTGACTTGGCCAGGGGCTGAGTGCTGGTCCCTGCTGGGTGGGGTAGCTGGTGGGCAGGGGGATAGTGGCCTTGGCCAGACATGGTGCTCTCCCCTCTGCTCTGGTGTGACCCCCTTGCTGTGCTGGGTCCAGTTCTGGAGCCCCCAACCAGAGAGGGGAGATTGAGATGAGATCTTGGGGAGAAATTCTTTGCTGTGAGGGTGGTGAGAGCCTGGCCCAGGCTGCCCAGGGAAGCTGTGGCTGCCCCATCCCTGGCAGTGTTGAAGGGCAGGTTGGATGGGACTTGGAGCAGCCTGGGCTGGTGGGAGGAGGTTGGAATTGGGTGCCTTTTAAAGGCTCCTTCCAACCTATACCAGTCTTGTGATTCTTTGCCAGATCCACCTGGCAACTGGTTTGTCCCCTGTCATCCCTGGTGACCCTGGGATGTGTCCACAGGTCCAGCACAGCCCTTGAGGTGCCCCAAAAGGCACTAACAGACCTCTGGGCAGCACAGAAGGGCCCATGGAGGTCCCAGAGGAGGGTGTCACAACAAAAGGCACGTTGGAGCCCCTGCAGCATGAGGAGAGGCAGCGTGAGGACACCAAGGGTTGCTCAGATGCTCTTGGTGATGTGCAGATGGACAGGGAGGGTCCTGGTGTGTCAGGAGGGGTGTGCAGACCTCCAGGGAGTGCAAAAAAGCAACTGAGGGGGCACCAAAAGACTCTCGGGAGTATTGCTCCTGGGTTATGTCCAGAAGGAACAAAGATGTCACTTGGGTGTTGCCAAAGGGAGCTGGAGGGTCCAGATCCACATCAGAAGGTACTGGTGGAGCTCTGGGAAGCAGAGACAGGCACATGGGGCCACCTGAGGGCACAACAAATGGACTTGGGAGCCCCATGGGCCACATCATCCAGATCCCACATCCTCTGGGAGGCCTTTGGGACACTTCCAAAGGCACTGGCTGGTACTGAGCATGGCCCTTGGTGGACGTAGGAAGGTGCCCGTATCCCCTGAGGTTGCACTACAAGGTTCCTGGAGGCACCTGGGCAGTGCAGACACATGGAGTCCCCTCAGGTGCCCCAAAATGCACTGTGGACCCTGGTGAGCACAATGAGACCTTTGGAGGCCCCCAGGGACTAAGAGCAAGGTCCTCTGAACAGAAGGGACTAGCAGAGCTCTGTGCTCAGAGACATCCTGGTGTGCCCCAAAATGCACTTGGAAGCCCATGGTGCTCAGGAGAAACCACTTGTAGACCACTGGGAAAGCTGAAAGGAGGCCAAGAGAAAGGCAGAGAAGTGCTGCCATGGCCCAGAGATGCACCCAAAAGCTCTTGGAGGCCACTAAGGGCTCACCAAGAGGTGCCCAGAGGAGCCCAGGGCCACCAAAAGGCACCGAGACCCCTCAGTGGGACACTGGGGCCACGAAGCTCCAGGTACCAGGGGCTGCAGCTTCCAGGGGCCCAGCTGGCTGTGGATCCAGAATCTGGATCCTAGAGGATGGACCCAAACCCCACCTTTCCCTTCAGCTGCTGCTGCCTGGTGTGTGTGGGGGGGGGGGTCACGCAGGGAGCTGAGGCTGCAAGACAAGAAATGACATGACCCAGCTGGTGCTTTTCAGGCTACTTTAATGCCAAGTGAAGAGTGTGGCCAGGCCTCCTGGGCCTGAGGAATCATTCATAGACAACTGCAAACCCCACGGCCACCTCCCAGGGCCCATGGACACTCCCCTCCTTAAAAATGCAGCTCCACTGGAAATCCTCCATTCTCCAGGACAGTCCCCATCTATGGCCCTGTCCTCAGGGGAGGCTGTTCCTCAGGAACCAGGTGTGCCAGCTGAGGCCACAGTCCCCGGGGAGCTCAGGCACCCCAAGGTCCCCTCCACCTCTCCAAGCAGCTACTGCTTCTCCCAAGACCTTCACCGGGCGCCTCCACCGCAGCAGAGCAACACAAACCAACCCAAAAGCAGCCAAACTGGGCAGGCAAAACCCCATGTCCCCAAAAGCCAGAACTGTCCCCAATGGCTGGGTGGGGACAGGGCAGCTGTCCCGGGCCAGGCCAGCAGCCCCCATCCTCCAGAACCAGCTCTCAAAACAAACCCAAACAAACTCAAGACAACGCTGGAACAGGACCAGGTCCCCAGGTCCCCGCTGCTGTGGCTGGTGGCCCCGAGGCTGGTGGCTCAGGTTCCACTGGTGGTTCGGGCAGAACGGCCACCTATGTCTGCTGGAACCCTGCGTGGGGAGGAAAGGATCAGGCTCTGGGAGCAGCTCCCCAAAACCCCCTCCCCTCATGTCCTCTGCTTCCAGCCAGGAATCCCACCCTGGGTTCAGAGCCACCAGCATCACACTGGGCAGGGGGGTCACGGTGTTTCAGCCCTGCCTGCCAGGCTGAGTTTCCCCCCACCCACCAGAAGCACCACCACATGCCCAGGAGATGCTCCCAGACCTTGGGAGAGGCAGGGACTCACCCAGCATCTGGAGAACCTGCTGTGCCACCACCACCTTGGCCTCCTCGTGCCCACTCCTGCCTGGCCCATCCTGCTGGACCCAAGCAAACCCACTGAAGGGCACGGGGCACCCTGGGATCACCACCTGGCACCAGAAACGCAGCCACCCATTGGGGGTGGCCTGGATGCACTTGGTGAGGAACAGGGGGGTGCCCAGGAACCACCTCCTGCACAGGGTGGTGAGGTGGTCCACGGCGTTGTGCAGCACTGGGGACAGGGGTGCCTGCTTGGGGACCCCCAGGTGCCTGCCCCCTTGCACCCGGCTGGACGATGGCTTCTCCTGGCAGGACTGCAGCTTCTGCTTCTGATTGTGGTTCAGCCAGTCCACCTTCAGCTGGGCCCCACTGAGCCCCGTGTTCCCTAGGACAGACCAGAAGCAGTGGCAGGAGACACCCACTCACCAGGCCCTCCCCTGTCCCCCCCTCC